AATTAAACATGGAAGCTTCCATCAATACTTCTTTATGCACTGAAGAGGCCACAGGCCTATAGTACATTCCCTTGTAAAGAACCATTTTTCATAACGTGCTGGCTATCCACGATTTTTAAGACTGCGGTTTTTGTATTGTCTCCATATACAGTTAGTTTCAATACCATTCCTCATAATAAGTCACTACCTCACCAATCTGTCTCTGTAGACCATTAATATTATCTGAAAACAAAATTATGTCATCTGCAATTTTGTCATAACAGCTTTGTAATAACTGGATGTTACTGAATCCCATTTGTCCACTCATCTGTGTTATCTGTAAAATGTACAACTGTTCCCAGTGTACGCTCGGATGATTTAGCATAGATTAAATAAAAGGAAATATTTAAATTATTGGTTATGTGGCACTAATGTGAGGAATGATTTAATTATTAAATACTCTGTAAATTGTGTCATGCAACACTGATAATGATTCTCTCATGACATTCACAGCGCTAGCAGTTACCGTCTTGGCTTTGGCATACTCAGAATGAACGATAATGATGGAACTGAACAGTACTCCTCGGTCACCTCCTACACCAACGTGAGTTATTTCCCTTAGTTTAAACACTTCCACATGATGTCTATCGTCTACAGTTTATTTTCATGTTTGTATTTTGAAATGGAAATGTAACACAGGGAATTATATTGTGTTGACAGTTTTGAACGTCAGCTACTGAGCACTGTTTTGTCTGTTTATCTCGTATAGCACCCTGACTACAATGGTAATGCTGGTGGCTATCCTAACGACATCGCAGTCCTGAGACTGTCAACCTCAATGGACACAAGCAGTTCAGCTGTGTCAACCGTCAGTCTGGCTTCTGGTAGCAACGACTATGCCGGACAAACATGCACGATCAGCGGATGGGGAAGACTCAGTGGTCAGTATTCCTCTTTGAGTGCACTTTTTGTTACCTTGTTACAGTTCATTCGTCCATAAGATCCATGCGCACTACATCATGATGGCATTTCATTTACCACTTGTTTACACATGTCTGCTCCCGTAGGAGGTGGCAGCACCCCCAACGTCCTCCAGAAGGTCGACATGACCGTGCTGACCAACACCGACTGTTCCAACAGATGGTCTAGTATAAGTGGTGCCACCGTCAACTCTGGACACATCTGTATCTTTGCGTCTGGCAAATCTGCCTGCAGTGTGAGTTCACATAACCACTCCTACCTTTGTTGACATATAAATCAAGTAGATAAGCCATTCCTGTACCAGCCCTACATTTTCCTCTGTAAGTGCACTACTAGTTTAACATAAAATGATTTAGGATAGGGATACGTTGTTGTAGTATGACGTGTTTGTCATTATGAATTCCCATCGCATATGTTCCATTAACGTGTGATAATACTCTATATAAGTTTTAACTGACAAATTATTTTCGGTTTTAGGGTGACAGTGGTGGCCCGCTGGTATGCGGTAATACGCTGACTGGAATCACATCATGGGGTATCAGCTCCTGCTCTGGCAGCTACCCCAGTGTCTACACTCGTGTGTCCTCCTTCAACTCCTGGGTCCAGGGACAGTAAAATGCATTCTTGTAGAACTGGCGGATGACGTTTCACGAATAAAATACACAAAACATTCAAAATATGCCTTTTTTAAAACGACTCTGTCTGATTGAAACGTTGTGGAAAAGTCGAAGTGTCAAGTCAACGCTTTAACTATGGACTACCGCCTTGTCTCTGTGGATTCTTACAGCCCAAAACAACTGAACACGCTTCAGACAAGATTGGCAAATAATATATAAATGTATCGTTCGCTAGATACAACAAAACTCATGAATAATTGATTAGAAATGAGAATGAGAAGTAATGTTCTCCGCTAAGAGTTTAGTAATGACAGACACACACAAGTTGGAGTTCAGTGTTTGAGGCCCCGTGGCCCAGAATACAATCTTACCCACAGGGGCAGTGGTATTTCGAATAGAAATTTAAACTGAAGATTAATCATAAAATTTTCAATTGAATCACCTATTAAAAGCCTATCTCTTGATGACATTGATGGATATTGCTGAGAGTGTATTACAAGGGAAAATCAAGCTACAAATCTACATGATTCTGCTCTGAGGGAATCCACGATACTATATCTATATCATGTATGAGTGAGTGAGAAAGTAAGGATGGTTTTACACCACTTTCAGCAATATTCCAGCAAATCACGGCCGGGGAAGGTTGCAGTGTTGGGGAGTCTTCACATTCTCCGAAAAGTTCTGGGTGGGTTTGACTAGGCTGCACTTCCTGGGAGAAGTCCCATTCGCTGTATGGGCTGCGTGTAGAGGGGGCAAGGGCTCTGAGCTGATGTTGAGCCTAACCAGCCTGACTGTGGCAGGATCATCCAAACCCTCTTTCCTGCATTTGTTATGTTTAATCTGTAAATAATAATAATAATAATAATAATAATAATAATAATAATAATAATAATAATAATAATAATAATAATAAAACAGTTTTCGAAAACGAACCAAGGATGCGGGACATAATCTCAATGATTTTGTTGATGTCTTCGCCATGCCTGTGGTTTGGACACAGAGGTCCACCCATTGTACGACCCGGAATATGTAGATGGCGTCATGAAACATGAGAAATACAACATTTTTTGGAATAGGCCCGTTTACAGCCTCAGACGTATCCAGGTCAACAAACCTGGTCTTGTCCTTTTTGATAAATCCAATGAAATCATTTATATCATTGAATTTTCTGTTCCCTTTGACACTAATGTGATTGACAAGATTGAGGAAAAACATGGCAAATATGCGGACCTCGCTTTCGAAATGTCACACTTGCATCCCAAGTACCAAGTTGTCCAACTCCCCGTTGTTCTCGGTGCCTTAGGGTTGGTACCTCCCAATCTGTTGACTGACATTGGGAGAGTACCCGGGTTTGCTACATGGAATACAGCCTTTCTGACAATCTGGGTAATGCAGAAGGTTGCAGTGTTGGGGAGTCTTCACATTCTCAAGTTCTGGGTGGGTTTGACTAGGCTGCACTTCCTGGGAGAAGTCCCATTCGATGTCTGGGCTGCGTGTAGAGGGGGCAAGGGCCCTGTGCTGATGATGAGACTAACCAGCCTGACTGTGCCAGGATCATCCAAATCCTCTTTGCTGCATTTTATATTTTAATCTGTAACTACTACTACTACTACTTCTACTACTACTACTACTACTACTACTACTACTACTACTACTACTACTACTACTACTAACCCAGTTAGGGCTAACCCCCCAAAACTGGTTCAAAACTGGGTTACAGAAAGCCATTAAGACATTCAACTAACAACGCCGCAGCCCAGTCAGCCTCCCTCAGGAATACAAACCAACCAAACTGGGGATGGGACTTGCCCCAGGGGGAGGCACAGACCCCACCCAAGAATATCCTTGGACGCAGCAAATGAAGTCAACACTTCTTGAGTGTGCGAAAGCAACAGGGTGGCCAGAAATATCACAAGTAAATGGCAAATTGTTGACTGGGAGAAAGCCATGCCAATGTATGCATATCTGACAGAACAAAACATCCGGGACCAGCTCCGGCGACTCAAATTATATTTGTGCCGTGAACCTGGTGAGCTAACTGCCAACACTGGTCAGGCGCCTTTGCGTATTTGTGTTGAACCAACAGTTCCAACAGTAGCAATCCCGAAATTGCTAATGAACATTCGCATTATTCTTCCTCAACTACCTGATTCAGTTGTCACTGATAATCCACACATGGGCTAACAAAATGAAATTCCTGATGGTGGCCTCGAAGATTCCGAACCCGTCTTTTGTCAATGATCTTTCTAATTATCCTTTGTATATTTTGTTTATGTCATTCTATAATCAAATCGTTGATTTACCGATTGAGAAACGGAGGCCAATGAAACAGTTTAACAAATCATTTGCACAGAATCAACTTGATACAATCAATAGCATTATTTCTGTCACTCTTAATGGTGACTGTTCTTTGCATGACATTAACTATTGGTGGTGTCCCCGGTCGTGATATTGCTGGAATATTGCTAAAAGCGGCGTAAAACCTTACTTTCTCACCCACTCATACATGATATAAGTATAGTATCGTGGATATCCATCAGGGCAGAATCATGTAGCTTTATTTCCACTTAAAATATACTCTCAGCAATACCCATCAATTTCATCAAGTGATATTTTTGATAGGCGATTCATTTGAAAATTTTATGATTAATCTACAGTTTAAATTTCTATTCGAAATACCACTGTCAATGTGGATAAGATTGTACTCTGGGCCACGGGTCCTCCAACACTGAACTACAACTCTGTGTGTGTGTGTGTGTGTGTGTGTGTGTGTGTGTGTGTGTGTGTGTGTGTGTGTGTGTGTGTCATTAATACATTGTTAGCGGAGTACACCACTTACGTGCAGGGGACAGGGAATAGTGTATACATCTATGCCAAAACAACAACTTCTGTTGACACTGTTGACATTCGCACACCCAACCAAATATATTAGCGGGTGATCTACGGAAACTTGTCGTTTTACAGGACGTGTTTGTTGGCAATCGATACACATTTAAATTTCAACCACTTACTGTTGTGGCAGTGTAAATAAAAGTGATAAAAACAACCTATTAAGGCATTTTACATCATTCTATATATGATAAGAATCCACATTACCACAGATGTTTCCATTAAATTACATTTACTGCATAATGCTCGGTAAACCGACGGCACCGATAACGTATTACATACTATCACATAATGGACGGTTGCCATAGGATAATCAATTAATGATGATTTTTGTTGTATCTAGCGAACTATTATGCATAAAATAACATAAAGCACGTTTATATATTATTTGATATTTCCTAATCTTGTCTAAAGCGTGTTCAGTTGTTTTTGCCGTAAGAATCCACAGAGACAGGGAGGTAGTCCATAGTTAAAGCGTTGACTTGTCAATTCGACTTTTCAACAACGAGTCTTTTTGCGTAATAAAACAACATATTTTGAATGTTTTGTGTATTTTAATCTTGAAACGTCATCTGCCTGTTTTACAAGAGTGTCTTTTATTGTATCTGGACCCAGTTGTAGAAGGAGGACACACGAGTGTAGACACTGGGATAGCTGCCAGAGCAGGAGCTGATACCCCATGATGTGATTCCAGTCAACGTATTACCGCATACCAGCGGGCCACCACTGTCACCCTAAAACCGAAAGTAATTTGTCAGTTAAAACCTATTAGAGTATTATCACACTTTAATGGAACATATGCGATGGTAATTCATAATGACAAACACGTCATACTACAACAACGTATCCCTATCCTAAATCATTTTATGTGAAACAAAGTTGTGCACATGCAGAGGTAGCGGTAGGGCTGGTACAGAAATGGCTTATCTACGTGATTTAGTGAGTTGACGGTGGCACCACTGATACTAGACCATCTGTTGGAACAGTCGGTGTTGGTCAGCACGGTCATGTCGACCTTCTGGAGGACGTTGGGGGTGCTGCCACCTCCTACGGGAGCAGACATGTGTAAACAAGCGGTAAATGTACTGCCATCATGATGTATTGCGCATGGATCTTATGGACGAATGAACTGTAACATGGTAACAAAAAGTGCACTCAAAGAGGAATACTGACCACTGAGTCTTCCCCATCCGCTGATCGTGCATGTTTGTCCGGCATAGTCGTTGCTACCAGAAGCCAGATTAACGGTTGACACAGCTGAACTGTTTGTGTCCATTGAGGTTGACAGTCTCAGGACTGCGATGTCGTTAGGATAGCCACCAGCATTACCATTGTAGTCAGGGTGCTACACGAGATAAACAGACAAAGTCGTGCTCAGTAGCTGACGCTTAAAAACTGTCAACACAATATAATTGTTATCTGTGTTACATTTCCATTTCAAAATACAAACATGAAAGTAAACTGTAGACGATAGACATTATGTGGAAGTGTTTAAACTAAGGGAAATAACTCACGTTGGTGTAGGAGGTGACTGAAGAGTACTGTTCAGTTCCATCATTATCGTTCATTCTGAGTATGCCAAAGCCAAGACGGTAACTGCTAGCGCTGTGAATGTCATGAGAGAGACATTATCAGATTCAAGATGAGTGCATAAATGGGATTCAGATACATCCAGCCATTACAAAGTTGTTATGACAAAATTGCAGATGACATAATTTTGTTTTCAGGTAATATTAATGGTCGACCGAGTCAGATTTGTGAGCTAGAGACGTATTATGAAGAAATTGAAACTAACTGTATATGGAGACAATACAAACATCGTAGTCTTAAAAATCGTGGAGAGCTAGCACGTTATGAAAAATGGTTCTTTAAAAGGGAATGTACTATAGGCCTGTGGACTCTTCAGTGCATAAAGAAGTATTGATGGAAGCTTCCATTTTTAATTAATTATGTGGTAAAACAACCGCACTACTACCCTTCAATTGTATTTCTACTAACCAAGCGTGTTTCCGTATTGTAAGCATGATATCTTCGGAATAACATGTGTATATTGCGTGTCTTTAGCGCACATGATGCATATTTGTACTCTTATATATGAAATGTACGATATGGAATCACACGGAGGTAATAATCGCTGTATCATATAATGTTATTCTCACAATATTTGACGGCATTTTCAGTAGATGAAGTAACTTTTAAATCTGCGTATGGATACCATGTTCGAGTGAACCGCTCCATTATATCATATAGAGCCAAACAATTTTGGGCCATGTTTATCTACTGAAATACCCACACATCTGGAAACCCCTACCTACACTTCTTCTGATTTATTCATCAAGCAGACATTGCATCGCCCCGTGTGGCGCTTAAAAGTCGTTCCTGCAATGTGACCTCAGCATATTGTCGGATCGTGAAATCAGGTAATGGTAGTATTGACTTCTAAACATGGTTTAATTTCAGTTTTCTGCTTCGTGTGTTATCATTATAAATTGTTACCTGTTGGAGAGACAGTGAGCGGCAGTGAGGGCCTTGTTGGTGGTGTAGAGGACGCAGCCACAGATATGGAACCAGCTGCTGCCACTCCTCACCTGGACACTTCCTTGCCAGGGAAACTCTCCTGCAGCTGCATTGCTGCCTTCAACGATGTTGGTGCTGATCTCAGCCAGGGCCGTAGCTACAACAGCATGCATAGTGTATATGTATTACGGAAAGTATATAAGTGATCCTAATCATACTTATTACATTTAATGATTTAGAAACCTGTCCATAGTTTGACATTAGTTCGTTGTTTGTGTAATTGTTCAATAGATCCGAGGCTATCGTGAAGGTTTATGACTCTTAATTGCGAACGTCATTCAAGATGTCACGTTTGCCAGTCCAGAATCTATTACATGCTTATCTGTTAATATTAATATGCAGCAGAATTGAAAACGAACAAATTAACTGTATATTCTTTACATATTTTTAAACCATGTAAACAGCTGAAACTAAGACTATAAGCAACTAAAACAATGGTTATTTTCCCAACCTACACTATACTCTAAATACTAAATTAGCACATATGTTTTCTCGCACACTAGAGTAATTTGATTGGTGGGCAATCTTTGCCATAATGACCTTTGAATAGGGTTCACAACGAGGCTATGGTGGCGAATACGTACAGGGTATTTATCATGAGGACGCTTAACACCTTGGATATTGTTTTAATAGTTTGTCTTATGTATCAGTCATACCATTTCTTTGTTATGATTCTAAGGTGTTTCACTGCGCAGTAAGCAACCACATGTTTCTGTTCACAACACTTCAAAGCTGATATTGATTACACCACATAGTAGATTTGGGCATTATAATTCAATTCTAGGTTGTAATTGGAATGTAAAACCATCAAAAGAGTCTCCTTCAAGTCAACGATTAAACTTTTCGCTATATTTATTTACATGTGAAAAAGCAGCAGGTACTTTCCAAGATCTGAATAATATTTCCGTAGATACTTTACAAACCTCGTAATCCCTGGTCAGCCAACGCTCAAGACCGTCACTCTACCTTGTGCTGTTGCCATCAATATAAATTTTCTTATAGTTTCAAATGCTGTTTGAAAGTGAGTGAAGGGTGCAGGGATGGAGGGATTGATGGATAGAATGAATGTAATGCAGTAGCAAAATTCGTCTGTGTCACGGCGTCCTGCAAATGATCGATTCTTGACCAGACTCACCACTGACCGAGAGGATGAGCTACGATCCGAACGGCGATACGCAAACTGCCATCGCACCCGATTAAGTAAAACTGTGTTACGAATGATGATGGTCCTTTGGGCTATAATGTCGTTGTGTGAAGATCCAACTAAATATGTTTATAATCTTACGTGAAAGAAGTAAATCCTGAAAGCAGGTCATACTTGAAAGTAAAACCTCCCTATTATCTATATTTAAAGTCAATGGGATGACTTCACGTCAAGAGCCAGTGTAACAAAACACTCCCCAGAAGACTGAATGACAAGGAGAATGACTCCAACTTTCCCTTTAACATTCAAGAACTTTGTAACGTTTTATGGTAGACACATGGAGGAGATTTCCAAATTTGACTCATCAGTGACACAGATGATGTCGGATGCAATTCCTTATTTGACTTGTACTAGATGTTACTGTGTGTTATTATTTTTCAGGTGAACAATTTACTTGCCTTTGCATGTGTTTCTGACGGGTGTCGCCAGTTTGTCCTGGTATGCTCACCTCTTCGTGAATATTTGGTATCATGACTATTTTGATAGTGATTCCTAAACTATAAAACGTCAACGCCAGGGAAGAACCACTCTCGAAGCAGATTCTTTTGAGTGTATAAGACAAAACAGCGTTAAAATTATTTCAACTGATCACTGAAAATCAACGATGACACCAGGCTTTCTGGAAAAGGATAAGCATGTCCTGCCCCAACGGCAACTCACACAACATGCATGAAGAAAGTTTGTGTTTGTTGCCTAACACCGCATAGCAGTACTCATGCGTTGCAACACATGTGCTTGTGACACTGTGGGAATTGTACATTCGACTCTGCTTTTTGCAGAAATTTCGTGTGAATTTAGAAAGGTTTTTGTATGCATTCTATTGTATGCCGATACTGGTAATCTTTGAGCAAGAACGGAGTTGGACCTATACATCTTTCAAGATATCCCTTGAAGATAGTGTGAAGATAATATCATGGCAGGTAATGGGGATAAATCTAACATTATGCACTTTGGTACACCATCAAGCCCTTGAGTCTGTTGTGCTTTTAGTTGTGCTCATTTGATTGTAACTTCTGTCGACAAGACCATATGGATCGTGAGATGAAATAGGGTTTAACGTCACGTTCAAGATTATTGCACTTACATAGTGACGTGCATGAGTGCCTGTGGCTGTGTGGCTGCTTGTACTATTCCGGAGCCATGATGACTTTATTGCAATAGCACCCTTATAGACCATACAACAGTTTCCATCCACTGACAATGTGTTGGAGAGTCTCATTAAATTCATTACATATTCTACATTTCATATTTACATTTTGATGCAAAATCACACACTAACGGTTTCGAGTGGAAAGTGACTGGTCCTGAAAGCCAACAAACAAAAAGCGTTCTGTTTCACTTTTCAGGCCAGATGACTTCATCCAAGCAAAGGACTCTGCAGGATTGCTGATCCCCTCAACACACTGCACATAAACTCGATTCAGTGGTCGTTTAGAAAGCCTCTCCTTGAAAAACTGAGTCTGGGCCGACTCGATATGGCACTTCGCTTGGTTGACACTCATTTCTGTACCGTCCAGCAGTACAGAACCATCAACATAATTAACACTGACTTTGAGATTATGTCCCACATCCTTGGCTCGTTTTGGAAAACTGTGGAATGCATTGTGTTCATCATTAGTCTTGACATGCTTCACCAGAGGACCATCAGACAAATAAATGTTTACAAAAGTGCACCAAACAGCATGACGAGTCTCCACATTAGTCATGGAACATTATAAAACAATGAGTGTGCTGTAATTTGATTGATAAAAATACTCTCATTATTCGTGATCTCTACGGCATATGTATACTTCTGATAGATATCACTTCCTCTCAGTTGCATATTGAAGAATCCCACTTCTTAGGAATGACTTACGGAAGATTAGATTCATTAACTGGTAACAGTGGTAACACGTCGCAGCATCACTATTTGACATTGATTCACAAACACATACTCATGATGTAGTCGGAATCGTACAATCGACTCTGCTTTCATCAGAGTTTTCTTATGAATATGGAAGGGGTTTTGTCGCTTTTTATAACATTAATCAATACATATAAAGAAAACATGGTTTGAATATATCGGGTGTATTGTGTATCCCGTTCGGATCGTAGCTCATCCTCTCGGTCAATGGTGTGTCTGGTCAAGAATGGATCATTTGCAGGACGCCGTGGCATAGACGAATATTGCTACTGAACTTCATTCATTCTATCAATCATTCCCTCCTTCCCTGCACCCTTCACTCACTCCGAAATAGCATTTGAAACTATAAGGAAATGTATAACGATGGCCACAGCACAAAGTTGAGTGACGGTCTGAGCGTTGGTTGACCAGAGATTACACGGTTTGTTTAGTATGTACGGAAATATTTATTCAGATCTTGCAAAACACCTGCTGTTTTTTCACATGTACATAAATATAGCGACAAGTTTACACGCTGACTTGAAGGAGACTCTTTTGATGGTGTTACATTCTGAAAAGCAAAATTACAACCTAGAATTGAATTATTATGCCCAAATCTACCATGTGGTATAATCAATATCAGCTTTGAAGTGTTGTGAACAGAAACATGTGGTTGCTTACTGCGCAGTGAAACACCTTAGAATCAAAACAAAGAAATGGCATAACTACCGATACATAAGACAAACTATTGAAACAATATCCAAGGTGTTATGTGTCCTCGTGATAAATACCCTGGACGTATTCGCCACCATAGCTTCGTTGTGAACCCTATTCAAATGTCATTATGGCAAAGATTGCCCACCAATCAAATAACTCGTGTGAGCGAGAAAACATATGTGCTAATTTAGTACTTGCAGTATAGTGTAGGGTGAGAAAATAATCATTGTCTTCGTCGCTTATAGTCTTAGTTTCAGCTGTTTTTAACACAAATTACATAGTTTAAATATATGTAAAGGTTCAACAGAATATACCGTTAATTTGTTAGTTTTAGATTCGGCTGCATATAATTATTAACGGAATAAGAATGTAATAAATTCTGGACTGGCAAACAAAAGATCACGTGACATCTTGAATAAGTTGTTGAGTAAAGCTGACGTTCGCAATTAAGAGTCATAAACCTTCACGATAATAAGTGTTTGGCTACACTGTGCAGAATGGCACATTTATGATGTTAGGAGAGGAACCAATGGCACTCACCTGATCTGTATAAAAGACTACCTGTCTGCACACATTGTCACTTCATCTCGATCCACAAAGATGAACGCACTTCTCACCATCCTTCTTTGTACCTTGGCCAGTAAGTTTGTATTTTTGTTCCAAATGCCTCGGATCTATTTAACAATTACAAAAGCAACGAACTAACGTCAAACTATGGGCGGGTTTCTAAATGATTAAATGTAATAAGTATGACAAGGATCACTTATATCCTTTCTTTAGTATATGTACACAATACATGCTGTTGCAGCTACGGCCCTGGCTGAGATCAGCACCAACATCGTTGGAGGCAGCAATGCAGCTGCAGGAGAGTTTCCCTGGCAAGGAAGTGTCCAGGTGAGGAGTGGCAGCAGCTGGTTCCATATCTGTGGCTGCGTCCTCTACACCACCAGCAAGGCCCTCACTGCCGCTCACTGTCTCTCCAACAGGTAACAATTTATAATGATAACACACGAAGCAGAAAACTGCAAATAAACCATGTTAAGAAGCAAATACTCCTATTACTAGATATCACGGTCCGATAATATGCTAATGAGATCACATGGCAGGAACGACTTTTTAGCGCCAAACGGGGCGATGCAATGTCTGCTTGATGAATAAATCAGAAGTTTAGTTAGGGGTTTGCCGATGTGTGGGTGTTTCAGCAGACATACATGGCTGAAAATTATGATATTGAGCGGTTCACTCGAACAGGGTATCCATACGCGGATTTAAAAAGATACTCTATCTACTGAAAATACCGTCGATTATTGTGATAATAACATTGT